AGATTTTATAAAAATCCATTTTTAAAGATTAATGATGATCTAGATTCCGAAAGGGAGAGAAATGTTTCAAAAGACCAATTGATTTGATTCCACACATACTAGCTAATACATATATCAAAACCATTTTCATGAAGGAAAATGTGTTATGAGAAATTTAAACTTGAACATGACTTAATACTAACCCCAATACTTATAAGAACTTAACAACCATTATAACAACATTTACGACACTTGGTGAACAAATTGCTAATCAAAACATCAAGGAATTGTAGATTATCAAAACTAGACATGAAGGTAAGATAAATATGTGAATTCAAGCCTGGAACATGGTTCCAAATTTAATAACGTTAAGAATCCCCAAATCAAAGTAAGTTTTGCACCGACTTTATAATCTCACCATGAGACAATGATCAAATGGATCATAGATTGGAAAGGAAATACATAACTAAATCATGAAATCAAGCTAATATCATTGTTTGAAACCATTAGTTTAACATCTAGATGTTCATGTACACGTCTTGACCTTGTGACTTTGTGGTTTTTGGGATTTTCCCGACACCATGGCATGGTTGGGCTTGAACCACGACGTGGTGATCATTTAAACATTACGACATGGTGAGACCCGTTCCACTACATGGTAGCAGTTGAGGCTCAAAACCCTAGATCTCGAACCTTGGGCCCTATTTAAAGGATGTGATGGATAGGGTTTTGTCCACCCTCAGCCTCCATCAAGCAAGCATATCCATCCTCGTGAACCTTCTCTGGACGTTTATAAGTCTTTTAAGCTTAACTTTGTGATTATTTCATGTAGATCTAGAGAAAGTTAGCATATTTCTCCATGGTGTGTTCTTATGAGTGGTTCGTATTGATAAAGTTTGCAACTTTATTACTCCTTGAGGTCCCTAGAGTGTTATATGGTTGGAATTTGGACTTATTATTGATTTGGTGCCATTATTTTTTACCCTTATTTTGACCTAGTTTGAGTGCATGACATGCATGTCCATAAAGCAAGGATTTTTATGAATTATGAGTGCAAAGAAGCTTTCTAGAATGTATGAGTGTTGGGCTTACCGGATTAAGTGCTTGATCCATTAAGTTGCTTGGCTAATTCCCACAGCAAGACATGATGCTCGCCACGTCGTGGTAGCGGTTTCATACATGACTATTTTTGTCTTGTGGTTGCCACGGTGCAGTAAGTAGCTCACCATGGCATAGTGGTTGACTATTGACTGTTGCCTGTTGACTTTTGACCATAATGAATTTTGGTCAAATTGTTAGTCTAAGTGAGTAGACTAAGTTTTATCATTTTGCTTTACACTAGGTAGCATGTAGTACCAGTTATTTGATCCTGAGAGCACTAGGTATCATGTAGTACCAATTGTCTAATCCTCAGATATGTAGTGTATTCTAATGAAATAAACAGGTGATTCGTTTCACTATACTATGTA